CCTGTACACAGCCTTTTTATTGACCACTGGGAATTCATTTCATTTTTCCAACAGCTAAATTTACAGAGATTGTAACAGTAAATCCAAAGTGACAACCACAGTAGGACACTTCAGGCAGGGCTCGTCCGCTCCATCCGTTTCCTCTTGCTTTCTCTCTTTTATGCTTTTTTTCTTCTTCTTCTCCTCTCTTCTTTCTTTTTGGCCTCGGACTCCCGGCCTCAGCATGGACCTGGTGAGATGTCCTCTCAGCCCAGCGTGGTGTCCTCTTGGCCAAGTGTGGCAGTCTCCCGTCCCAGAGTGACGCTCTCTTGGCCTGGTATGTCCTAAGCATGGACTTCCAGCCTTGAAGTGATTCCAGAGCAGTTTCCCGGCCCGGAGAGCATTGAGGAGAAGCCAGGTGCGATCAGGAGTCACAACCTGGGGCAGACTGGAGGCTAGGTGCCAGTATGTACTTGCTGGAAGGACCAATTTACTGAATTTTTATTTCTCTATTTTCTAATTTATTCCTACGATCTGCAATACTAGCCTTTATATTTCTTTATTTTTCTAATTTTCTTTTCATAAGAACATATACTGAGGAATCTATACCTAGTTATCTTGTACCTAAGATGGTGCTGTAAGTGGTGACTTGTAAACTTTTCACTGCACTCGTTTGAATACATGTGACAATAAAGCTAATTCAATTCAATAAACAAATTCATAGGCCACTTTGATATAAAGTTCACATTTTTCAAAGTCTGAAAAATTAACTAATTTATGTGACGAAATCGAAATAATACCATATTCTTTTATTCTCAACAAACTAAACTGTTCCTTAACTGGAAGGTGATAATGGGCAGTAACTGCTCAAAACCATTTGTTTTATTGTATGTTCACTGCACTGTTTATAATGAGATTCGTAATTCAAAAAATCTTAGGGAAGACAAACTAGGAACCATCAATATAAGACAGACATTAATAAATCCAATGCAAAATTCAGGAAAAACATTTTTACCTAGAAAGTGATTAGAATATAGAAAGAACTTGCTACCACGAGGAGTAGTTCTGACAAAAATACGTGAGGGAGAACGGAAGAGGAGGAAGAGGGCCAGGGAAAGGCTTTACTGAAGCATTAGATTAGTTAGGCTAAATTATCTGCTTCTGTACTGAAATTCAATGCAATTCTGTACAGGATAGTACTAAAGAAGATATTGTAACCGTGAAGTGCCCACTGATAAGGTCTATGGCTAGCTGCTTCTATGTGGACTGAGAAAATGGGAACAATAAAAAAATCAAGCACGTCATTCTGATGCACCTGGTCATAAGGCAGCAATTGTAAAATCCTAAAAGAAGTTCACCTATTATTAAGTCCATTACTAAGAATCAGATTACGGGGTACTTGGAAATGCATAGTAAAATAAAGCTGAGTCAGCACGGCTTCATCAAGGAGAGGTTGTGCCTATCCAATCAGTTAGAGCTCTTGGAGGTTGTTAACAAGTAATTTAGACGAAGGAGAGCCAGTAGACGTGATCTGTTTGGATTTCCAGAAAGCATTTGACAGGGTGTGGCACAGGAGGCTGCGACATAAAGTAAGAGCCCATGGTGTTAGGGGCAAGGTACTGGCATGGATAGAGGATTGGCTGACTAGCAGAAGACAGAGAATGAGAATAAAGGAAGGCAGCCAGTGACTAGTGGGGTTCAGCAGGGATCTGTGTTGGGATCACAACTATTCATGTTATACGTTAACAATCTGGACACAGGTACTCAGGGCATTGTTGCTAGGTTTGCAGATGACACAAAGATAGGTGGAGGGACAAGTGGTGCCGAGGAGGCATGAAGGCTGCAGAAGGACTTGGACAGATTAGGAGTGTGTGCAAAGAAGTGGTAGATGGAATACGACGTGGGAAAGTGGAAGATTTTGCACTTCGGTAGGAAGGATAAAGTCATAGACTATTTTCTAAACAGGGAGAGGCGTTGGAAATCTGAAGCACTAAGGGACTTCGGAGTCTTCATTCAGCAGTCTCTTGAGGTTAACATGCAGGTTCTGTTGGCAGTTAGGAAGATAAATACAAGGTTAGCATTCATTTTGAGAGGGCTAGAATACAAGAGCAGCTGTGTTCTGCTGAGGCTATATCTGAGCTCTGGTCAGACGCCATTTGGAATACTATGAGCGGTTTTGAGCCCCACAGCTAAGGAATGATGAGGAGATTTACAAGGATGATCCTGGGAATGAAGGGCCTGGTTTGTGAAGAGAGTTTGAGGACTGTGGGTATGTACTCAATGGAATTTAGAAGGATGAGGGGGAATCTCATTCAAATTTGCAGAATACTGAAAAGCCTGGATACAGCAGACTTGGAGAAGGTATTACCACTAGTAGGAGAGACTAGGACCTGAAGGCACAGCCTCAGAGAGAAGGCACAACCCTTTAGAACTGAGATGAGAAAGAATTTCTTCAGCCAGAGGGTAGTGAATCTTAGGAATTCACTGACACAGAAGGCTGTGGAGGCCAACTCATTGAGTGCCTTTAAAACAAAGATAGATAGGTTCTCGTTTAGTAAGGTTATCAAGGGAGAAGGCAGGACAATGTGGTTGAGGAACATTATCAGCCATTATCGAATAGTAGGGCAGACCCAATGGACCAAATGGCCTAATTCTGCTCTTATCTCATGTGGAGTTAGTGTTGTTCTCATGACTATCTGAACTTCTCACTATTAAAGGATATAGGGAATGAGGTACTGTTGGATTTGAGCTTCACGAGCTGTTGTATTGAATTGTAGGTTATCCATATTGCAGTCACAGTACACCGATGATGGCAGTTCAATATTGATTGAATATTGAATGGAATGAGCATATTTGAGTCAACTTCTTTGTTCTAAATGAAGTTGAGCTTCTTGACTGTTTTGTGGCTACACCTAGCAGGTGGGGGAATAGTCTCTCAACATATCCTTGATCTCAGCCTTGCAGATAATGGAAAAAGAGCACTGAAGTGGGACACTTACTGCCAAAATGGCCAGCTTTCACCACACATTTGAGCCACTACACTAGTCCAAATTAGCTTCTGGTCAATATTAACCCACAGGATATTGAAGGTGGGAGACTCAAGCAGTGTTGGCGCTAATGAAGGTCAGGAAAGATAGTTCAGCTTTCCCCTTTTTGGATCATCTGTGAACATCTCTTCCTGATCTATTGAAGAAGGGGGAACCACTGAAGAAGCGGCTGCAGATAGGTAGGCTGAGATTAGTTTCCTAAGTAATTCTCAGTGATGTTCAAGGGCTGTGATGACTGGTCTCTGACAACCACAATTGCTTACTTTGTATCAGGTATGATGTCATCCACCACAATGCTTTCACTGCAAACTGCACTGGCCTCATATTTGCCCAGGTTCCTTTATGCCATTCTCAGTCCAAAGCTAAATATCACAGAGATTGAACTGGACCAGCCATATAAATACTGTGGCTACAAGAGTACATTAGAGGTTGGGAATTCTACTGCAAATAACTCACTCCTGACTCCCTAAAGTCTGTTCACCATCTACAAGGCAGAAGCCAGGAGCATCATGGAATACTTGCCTGGATCGGTGCAGCTCCAACACTCGACAAGCTCAAAACCATTCAGAACAAAGCAGCCTACTTGACTGGCACCCCATCTACTACCTTCAATATTCACCACGAAGTCACAGTGCCAACACAGCGTACACCATCTACAAAATGCAATGCCACATCTCACCATGGCTTTTTGACACCCCTTCCTCTTGTGGAGGAGACTAAAACAATGGGAAGTAGTTTAATTATGAGGTCTCCCTTTTAAGAAAGGGATGAAGAGAATTTTTGTTTTCTTTCAGTGTGTTGCTAAAGTTTGGAATTCTCTTCCCCAGAAAACAGTGAAGTCTGTGACTAAAGTTATTCAAGGCCGAATGAGATAAATATTTTGATAGACAAGAGTCAAGGTTATGCGATGCAGTGAAGCTGAGACCAAAACCAATCATTATGTTTTTCCAATGGTGGAGCAGACTCAAAAGGCCAAATGGCCTGCTCCTTGGTCCAATGTTCCTTCCAAAGCCACAACCACTTCTGTCTAGAAGGACAAGAGCGGCAGATACATGGGAACAAGTTTCCCTCCGTGCCTCACACAATCCTATTTAGGAAATAAATGTGTCCCTTCACTGTCAGAGTTAGAATCCTTAAAGTCCCTCCCTAAAGTACTGTGGGTGTACCTACAGCAAATAGACTGCAATGGTTCAAGGAGGCAGCTCACTACATCACGTTGAGAACACTTGGGAAGGGCAATAAATCCTGGACCATCAGTCATGCCCACATCCCATCAATAAAAAATAAAGGCAGCAATTTCAACTTCTCCTTTAGTATTTACGAGAAAGTTTGGATCAAGGCTAGAATGAGTGCTTCTGGCATTATCCTACTTAAGTATTGAAGATCTAATTAATGAAGAGTAGGGTACTAAATCTTTCTATCACTTTATCAATCACTGGCATAACGACCTGGTCAGACACCAATTAGATTTTTTTGCAGATAAGCCATACCTGGACATTATTCCACATCATCAGGTTTAATGCAGGATCATGATTGTAACTTTGTATTCATCCCACACTCCCCTGAAGAAGAAAGTCTCTTTCTGCTGATCTCAATAGTCCCACTGGCATGACAACCAGCTTCATTGTTGGAAACTACAGAAAACTAAACCATAGTTTAACTCAATTAAGAACTTCGACATATCAAATCAAATTGAAAAAATAATTACATGGGTGCAGAGACAGAAATTATTCTCCGTGGTCATCGTTAGCTTGGAACAAATGATGTCAACACTGTGTCAAACCTCAAAAACAAGTGCCATTCCCAAGGTAGGTATCACTCGGCAAGAGCACAGGATGAAGGTTTGCATGCCATTTTGAGATTTCCTTTGTTAAACTAAAGATAATTATCCGCATTGTTTACAGCTAACATAATTAATAGACAAAATTTGAAAAATAATTGCAAATGTAAAAATGGAATGAGTGGCCAGCCTACCTTACAGATCCATCTGCAACATTTGGCACATACAGGGTTATGTGAATAGGAACTCGGCAGCTGGCACGGAGGTTGGCCATGGCACGAAGAGCCTCTGCTTCATTGCGAGGAGAAGTCACCTTTGTGCAGCCCAGGTAGGTTAACTTGTTGAATAGCACACTCTCCTCTTCCTCTGCATTGGGTGACGTAGCTTTAGGTGCAACGAGTTCTGTTGAAAACACACCCCAAATCAGTCTGATTGCAACAGGGATAAACTACATCACACTGACATCACAGCGACTGGCCTGCATGCAATTTCCAGGAACAAGAACTAAAAATATTGGAAATACACACCATATCACAATGAGACAAAATCTGCACCGAGGACAGATGGGCCAATAGATTCTGGGAGCATAACCTTTGCTAGACTCCAGACATTCACCTAAGACTGCCTACCTAATAAGATTGCCTTGCTTCCAAGGAGCACTATCTATTGGGTGGAACAGGGGACTCAAGTCCCGAGAAAACCCTCATCAGCAACAACCTCCCTTTGTGACAATGTGTGATACCGGAGGCATTCTGTTGCATCAATACATTCCTAAGAATTAATTTCACTCCCTGAAAGGTCCGAGTAGATAGCTGGGACAGAGCACAGTGTAGGAATCGAGATCATCTGTAGAAACTTTGTATCGAGACAGGAACTTTTCTATCTTACCAACCATATTTTCAGGGTGAGCTTGCCAACTGGACACATAATTAGCTTAACAGCAGCAGACAGAGAGTAATGGTGAAGGGTTACTTTTCAGATTGGAGGCCTGTCACCAGTGGTGTTCCACACGGATCAGTTCTGGATCCTCTTTTGTTTGTCATTTATATTAATGATTTGGATGAGAATACAGAAGGCATGGTTAATAAGTTTGCAGACAACACCAAAATTGGTGGCATAGTAGACAGTGAAGAAGGTTTTCTAAGATTACAAAGGGATCTTGATGAAAATGGGTCAATGGGCTGAAAAATGGTAGATGGAGTTCAATCTGGATAAATGTGAGGTATTGCATTTTGCCACAAAAAACAAGGGTAGGGCTTATACAATTAATGGTAGGGCCTTGAGTAGTGTTGTAGAACAGAAGGACCTTGGGGTTCAGGTACATAATTCTTTGAAGTTTTCATCACATATAGATAGGATGGTTAGAAATTTCTTTGGCATGCTTGCCTTAATGCTCAGTCTTTTGAGTATAGGAGTTGGGAAGTGATGTTGAGATTTAGAGACATTGGTGAGGCTTCTTCTGGAATACTGCATCCAGTCTGGTCGCCTCATTATAGGAAGTACATTATTAAGCTGGAGATGGTTCAGAAGAAATTTGCCAGGTATGGAAGGTTTTAGTTATAAAGAAAGGCTGGGATTTTTTTCACTGGAACGTAGGAGGTTGAGAGGCAACCTTACAGAAGTTTAAGATAATGAGGGATATACAGAGAGTTACTGGTAGTTGTCCATCCCTAGGAAGGGGGATTTTCAAGATGGGGAGAAATTTTAATGTGAGGAGAGAGATTTAAAAAAGACATGAGGGGCAAATTGTTTACACAGAGGGTGGTTCACGCGTGAAATGAACTTCCAGAGGAAGTGCCGGATGCCGGTACAACACGTAAAAGACATTATGATAAATACATAAATAGAAAAGGTTTACAGGGATATGGGCCAGGAGCAGGCAGGTGGGACTAGTTTAGTTTGGGATTATCGTCGGCATGGACTGGTTGAACCGAAGGGTCTGTTTCCGTGCTGTATGACTCTATGATTCTATACACTCTGCATCCTGCTGTAAAGGAAGAAACACTAGCTATGAGCTGATAAATGAAACCTCTCCCATGGCCAGGACAAAAATGCTTGCTTACAGTATGTAAATTACTCCATGCTACTCAACTATATTGTATTATCTGTGAGCACCTGTTTCAGAAATGCCCAACATGTAACAGGGAAGTAATGTGTCACTGATTTCTCAAGCTTTCTGCTCACCCAATGATAGCAAAATACTAAGTGCAGGAAATTCAAATTCCACCATCCATCATGGCAAGATTTGAAACCTAGTTCCCAGAACATTAGCTGAGTTTCTGGATTAATGATCTATTAATATTACCACTAGGATATCACCTCCCCTTAATTCACACCCTCCACCACTGGCGTAATGTAATTGCAATACATACCATCCGCAAGATACACCTTAGCACCTTGCCAAAACATCTAGGACCAAAGATCCCAACCTATGATCTCTAGTAGCTCAATAGAGAAGGACAGAAGGGACAAAAGAACACAACCATCTTCAAGCTCCTCTCCAAGTCACATATTATGACTTAGAAATATGTTGTCATTGCTTTATCATCACTGGGTCAAAATCCCAGAACCCCCTATCTGAATGACACTATGGGTGTACTCATACTATACGGACTGCAACAGTTCAGATCACAGCTCAGGACCACATTCTCAAAGGCATGGCCAAGTCTAGGTCTAGTAATGCAATGCCCTTATCTCAACAATGAATGGAAACGTTTTGACAGTACCTGGCCCTCACCAATCCTGTATGTCGCACAGAATTTTATACAAGTTACAGCACAGTAACAGGCCATGCAGCCTAACAGATCTGTGTCAGCAATTAGGTCCAATGAAAGCTTCCTCCAAGCTACCTCATCCAACCTCTACAAGCATATCCTTCTATTCCTTTCTCCCATGCCATGCAGACTTATCTAGCTTCCTCTTAAAAGGACCTATGTATTCACCTCAAATATTCCATGTGGTAGCAAGTTCCACATTCTCAGAACTCTCTGGAAAAGACGCATTATTAGATTTATTATCAATTATCTTATATGAACGATCAATATTCCTTTCAATTTCTTTTTGAACTGGGTACATCCTTTTTAACCCACGAACAGTATGTATTTAGGTCATGATTCTGAAAATGTTGGAACTTTCTCCTGATGAACAACAATGTTTTGAGTGATCTGTGGGGTTCAGAATGCAGCACATTCCAAATTACTGTGTAGCCTCACACATCTTAGAGGGAACACTGGTTTTTGCAACCTTGCTTTTGGACTCATCCACAAATCAAAGCATTTTCTACACCCTATTGAACCTCCATCATTTTAAAGACCTTGATAATTTTAAAGAATCATAAACAATCTCAAGAAAAAAAAGCCTAAAAAGTTATAATTATAATCACCTAAGAGTTCTAGTGTATTTTCAAATTTGTTTGTACTTCCTCCAGTTCCAATTTATTGTTCCTGTAATATGGGGACAGGAACAATACTCTTGAGTGTGATCCAATCAAGGTTCTCCAGAAGTTGATACAATACCTCTACTGAGTTCAATAATAATGATTCCTGAGATGTGGCTCTGATTGCAGGTGCGAAGTGTTTCTTTATGAAGAGCAGGAAAATTAACCAGGGCAAAATGAGATTAAGTCTCAATTTGGTACAAAAATTAGTTTAACTGGGTTCAACTTTGAGGCTGTCCTCATGTTTCAAGATATCAGAGGTTTACCTCAGTGGTCTGTAGAAGAGGATAAAAGTTCAAGGTTTACAAGTATCTTTTAGAAAAGGCAAGCAGCCCATCCTTACCTGGTCCGGACAACATGTGACTCCAGACCCATAGCAAGATTGGTGACTCTTGGAAGGGTTTAAACTAGCGTGGTGGGGAGGTGGGTACCAGAGTAGTAGGTCAGCATGTGGAGTGACTGAGGAGAAGGTAGAGGATGAGTCTAATAGGAAAAACAGGCAGGGCTAGGTTAATGAACACAGCAGAACTGGCGATCTGAAATGTACTTATTTTAATGCAAGGAGTGTAACAGGTAAGGCAGATGAGCTTACAGCCTGGATTCGTACATGGAACTACTCTGCTGTAGCCATTACAGTAATTTGGTTGAGAGATGGACAGAACTGACAGCTCACAGTTCCAGGGTTTAGATATTTCAGGCATGATAGAGAGGGTGTAAACAGGGTGGGAGAGTTACATTACTGATGAAGATGACTGTCACAGCAGCAATAGGACATCTTGGAGGGTTCATCCACCAAGGCCATATGGGTAGAACTCAGGAATAAGAAAGGTGCAATCACTATGATGGGGTTATACTTTTGGCCTCCACTGGCCAGGAGATGGAGAAACAGATAGGTCAGCATATCATGAAAAGATATAAAAACAACAGGGTTGTTCTAATGGGTGATTTTAAACTTTCCCTATATTGATTGGGACTCCCTTAGTGCCAGGAGCTTAGATGGGACAGAATTTGTTTGGCGCATCCAGAATGTTTCTTGAAACAATATGTAGAATGTCCAACTAGGGAAGAGGACTTTTAGACCTTGTACTGAGGAATGAATCTGGCCAGGTGATCAAAGTTTCAGTGGGGAAGCATTTTGGGAACAGTGACCATAATTCTAGAAGTCTTAAGATAGTTAAAGATGAATAAGGATAAGATTAGTCCTCCGGTGAAAGTGCTAAATTGGAGGAAGGCTAATTACAACATTAGGCAGGAACTGGAGAAATTAAATTTGGGGCGGCTGTTTGAGGGCAAATCCGCATCTGACATGTGGGAGCCTTTTAAAGGCCAGTTGATTGGAGTTCAGGTCCAGCATGTTCCTCTGAGGATGAAAGATAAGGATGGCAATTTTTGGGAGCTCTGGATGACAAGACATACTGAAAGTTTAATCAAAAAGAGAAAGGAAGCATATGTAAGGTTGAGGAAGCTAAAATCAGACAAAGCCCTTGAGCAATATAAAGGAAGCAGCAGAACTTAAACAAGGAATTAACAGGGGTAAAAATGTCCTTGGCAAGTAGGATTAAGGAGAATCCCATGGCATATTATATGTATATTAAGGACAAGGTGGTAGCTCGGGAAAGGGTAGGTGCACTCAAGGACAAAGAAGGAAATTTCTGCGTGGAGCCAGAGAAAGTGGGTGAGTATTTTGCATTGGTATTCACCAAGGAGAAGGATGTGGACGATAGTAAGATGAGGAAAGTGTATGTTGATATTCCAGGGCAGGTCGATATTAAGAAGATAGTGGTATTGGGTGTCTTGAAAAATATTAAGGGGCATAAATCCTCAGGGCCTGATGGGATCTATCCCAGAATGCTGAGGGAAGCAAGGGAAGAGATTGCTGCGGCCTTAACAATGATCTCTGTATTCTCCTTAGACACAGGCAAGGTCACAAAAGACAGGATAATAGCAATGTTTCTCCTTTGTTTAA